TCGTAGCGGTCATTGAGGTATATGGCAGTGGCCAGAGCCTCTTCCGGTGACGCTGTCCACTCCAGGATCTTCTTGGCCCAGTACATCCGGAGGAAACCATGCATCTTTCCCTCAGACACCATCTGGAACTACAGGCCACATACATCCAGAGGGCAGAGAGAGTTCAAATAGAGCAGCAGTGTTGCCTAAACCAATCCTTGGAGTGCCACCTGATCTGTTGATCCCAGACTTCCTCATGTGTGCTGTGTGTAACCAGAGTTCAGCATTGGTTTAATGAGGTGCTTTCTCAGAGGGCAGGTTAATTAGATGCCAATGAGATACAGGACAAGTCATCAGCACCAGAGGGGCTGGATGTCCTGTAGCCAGCTAGCTTTCAGTCCAAGAGAAGCCTCAGAGCTTGCAGTGACAGAAACATCTATGCTTAGTACCTGTAAGGCAGCGGCGATCTCTTACAGATGGGCGTGTCAGTGAGGGGTGTGTACAGATCCTTATACTAACCATGCACTACAAGGGTTGAACTCATCAAGCTGAGTAGGTAATAATGAGAATTCCAGTTTCAGGAAGAGAAAATAACTGGCAATTCAACAACACGCACAAAGCATAAGCAAAGTTCATAGGCGCACAGTGACCTATACAATATCCATGTGTGGGCAGCACACCCATCTGCAAGGATCATTTAGCACAGGCTTGGGAAAGATCAGGGAGCTGGCCTGACCAGCTTGATCCAGCCATATGATGAGAGAGCCCAGAGTTTGGGCCTCAACCACTGGGTCACCCACAAATTTCTAACTGTTAAAATAATAATAATAATAATTGTGCACAAGAGCCACATAGAAAAATAAAACTGAAGTAAAGCTAACAGTGGCTGGGCCCAGGCATGAATCACAGCGTGGCAACAGTCCGGGCTGCTCAGCAGAAGGCTGATCTGTGGTGACTGGGAGGCCAGCTGCGCTCTCTGCCTCTAAAGAGTCAAACCACAGTGCTTAACGCAAACTTTCTGCTTTTAGAAACAGCCTCTCAAGTAGAACATCCTTGTTTATTTAAGCAAATAAGATAGCCACTTATAATAAATAGCTCCTATACACCACAGACAGCTCTTGAAACTGTCCCATCTTAAGCTAATCACCATGTCTTCCCTTCTCCAGTGTCTCACTACCGAATTTTGACTTTTGAAAAGAAATTGAATGACCTCCATGACAAACACTGCAGATATTCGAAGTTCTTCTTCATCCTGCTAGTGGTGCCAGAGGCTGTCTTCAGACACCAGGTAATATCTTTTCTCTTTACAGCTAAGCTGCAGAAATGTGTTCACATTTATCTATAGCATCTATTTGGTTTTAGGGCTATGACGATGTACAGACACCGATTTGTTTGCATTGACACACAAATCATTAAATACTTATTGAAATACGAAAGCTGTTAAACTGTAAGAAATGTCAGTGTTGGTGCAATGCCAGACTTCTGGAGATTTCATTGGAGACAAAATGCCAAATATATCAAAGTTTTAGGAGCAATCATTTTCCATTCTAATCTGGTACTAGTCAATGCTGATAACTTTCAGTAGCAGTAGATAATGGAGCAATAGACAGGTTTACAGCAACTCAGAAACCTGCAGGACACACAGCCCAGGGAGGATAGTGTGTGCTTCATATGTTTTGCTATGGAGTGGTAACGTCCATGAATTTGTTTGCCAAGAGCAAATATGTATTTGATGTCAATGTGAGATCGAAACCTGTCATTGTTAAACTAAGTAATCCCACTGCATGACAAGTACTTCTGTACAAGCAGCACTTTAAGAGACATTTGGTAACACAGCCACGCTCTGGAGAGAGCTGGGACCAGTGTCCGGGGGCGAGCAGTGTTCACTAACGCTGCAATGCTCTGGAGGGAGTGGCGTTCAGTGCGCGAGGCCGGGGACGAGCGACGCTGGGAATCTTGAGCTGTTTTAGACTACAGTGCTTTCAATACCTGAGCTGCATTCCAGAGCTTGTCATGAGTCCTGGAGGCCTCCAGCTCGCCGCGGGAGTACAGATAAGGTCGGCGGTCTTTGGCGTGCTCTCTCAGGGTCTTCTGTGCCCACTCATAAGCTCCTGCAAGGGGAGGGACACACTGCTAACCCTAAGGACAGTGCTCCTAGTCTGAGTCCCTCTCATTAGTCTCCATATTTGGATCTATTTCCAAAGGAAATTCAGCCTTTTTCCCTCCTCAGTTACCGTGCTGCCCTCTGGCTGTGTCTGCAAACCCGTCCTAGGCTACTGCCAGGTTAGGTAGTCAGAACCGCCCCTCACAAACCGGCCCTACCGCAGTCCAGCCCTTTCCCTCCCTGTCCGTCTGCCTCTCTCACCGTCCACACGGTCGTACTTCTTGTTGTAGAAGCAGAAGTTGTCCGCCAGTTCCCGGCGAACCACAACCTCCTCCACGAACACGTCCACGGACTGCGGCCACCGCCGGCCGTGGCGCCGGACCTCCAGAACCACGCGCTGGGCCGACACCTGGCCTGCGGCAATCACAGAGTCAGGGGTCAGAGCAGCACGCGCGATACAGGACAGGACGAAACCAAATCTGACTACAGTGCTACCCTGTTACGGTGAGGTTACTGGTGTCCATGATCTGAACAACATGTGTTGAAGTTGTGACAGAGAAAGCACAATGAAGACTGAAACAGACTGACAGAGGACACAGATTAGGGCTGGGGGATATGGCCAAAAACATTATCCCGATAAAAATGTTCATATCAGTCGATATCGATATTTATCACGATAAATGTCAAATCATTATTTCTTTCAAGTTTAAAGGCAGATTTTTTCTCCTGAGTGAAAGCTGAAGAAACCAGACAGTTAATTGGTAAATTAAACAACTCTTCATTTTAAGAACACAACAAACACTTGCCAAACAGCAGAAACATTAAACAAATCTGTTAGCTGCCCGGTCTGCAACACACACGCGCAAAGCATAAACATATATATCAGACATTTATCGAACTTTTGTTAAAATTATATCTAGGAAAATTATATCGCAATAATTATCGTTATTGAATTATCGCCCAGCTCTAACACAGATGTCTTTAAACTGAGAGGCAGAGTCTCTTAAACCTGAGCTCTATTCATTCATACAGACGCGCTGTATGAATGATCAGACCTTCAGAGAGTTTCCAGAGTGACAGATGCTCAGTACACTGACCGAAGTGCAGCCAGGGGGACAGGTTGCTGAGGGCTTCCCCGTTGGGGTTGTTGCGCTGGGTTGCAAAATCCTTCAGCCGGTGGTCGATAAAGGACTCCAGGACCTCCAGCCCAGCTGCTGCACCGGGACGGGCCCAGGACACCTCCTTCACGCTGCGGTCCACTGCCAGACTGGACCGAGCCTGCTCCCAGTCGATGGGCTGCAGGTGGCAGATAAGACAGCCTCAGGGGCCGATACAGAACCGAGACACCGGCATGCAAATAACTTCCCACAGGCACAGGGTCTTGAGCCAATTTACTACAGCTCTTCCCATTGGTTTTGAAAACTGCAGCTCCTCTGCACATAGGTGACAGACCTGTTGCTCCATTGTTTCTCAGAGGCCATGTCACAGATAGGTTAGCATGCTAGATTTTCTCATTTTAGCAAGGCAGTGCCCTCTTTCATCTGCAAATATAGATGCAGTAAACACAGTCTTATTACAATATTGTATTTCACAAGCACAACGCGAGAGTAACAACACGCGGACGCTAGGTGTTAAACTACAGTCCTGCTGCGTGCACACTGACCTTCGCAGGCTTGGAGGCACGGTGGGGATGTTCGGCCACCAGGGGGAACTCTTTCAGGAAATCTGGAAGTTTGCTGGTGATCTTCTTGCGAATTGTCTTGGCTGAGTACTCCTGCTTATCAGATGCCACCCAGCAGGGCACTACATTATGGGCATCCACCTGAGGGGTGTTCAGTACAGTGAGTGACAGGTGGAGGACAAAGTAGGATGGGCACATGCGATGGTACAGTGAGACACTGAGCTACCCCATCAGAATGTCACCTGTCAGAGTTTAAAACAGGTTAGAATACAATATGACATTAAAGTTGCAGCTACACTAAGAAAAAAATAATATTTTTCTCTCAAAACTAAAGATTCAATTAAAATTTAAACTAATGATTCAAACTTAATGTGGAGGACAAAGTGTGAAAAGATAAAACTCAAGATACAGTTTCGAAACAATGCACTTGTTGCAGGGCAACACAGTATCAGACAGCAAGCAGCAATGCCACAGTAGTGCTGACTTTAATTTTTGTAAGATTAGGCCAGAAGAACTGATAAAATACATCAAAGAAATGCAAGAGATCTCAGCAAAGGCTGCCATATTTCATAGTGTCTCCGTCAGCAGTACAGCAGTTTGACTACAGACTGACTGAGTCAGAGCACAAGGGGTACACACAGCCACACACACACCCCATAGCAGCTATGAGCAGACACGCAGCAGGTGGTGCAGGGAACAGACAGCAGCGCCACACAGTGGTGAAAAGGGGGAACAGCAGCGCCGCACACCGAGATGACCGGACCTGAATGAGAGGAATGTCCTGAGGCAGCCGCTCCTTCACCTCTTCCACCCACTGCAGCGGGAGCCTGAGGGGCGCGAAGTCAGTCACCACGGCGCCCAGGCCCTGCTTCTGCACGAACTGCGGCAGCACCTCACCGGCCGAGCCCCGCAGCAGGTGGAACTCCAGCCCCAGAGCAGAGCACTCCTGCCACAGACAGAGAGCAAAATCCTGACACTTCTTACTGACACAGACAAAGGAAAATAAGGGCAGTCCTGCTGTCGGATTACAGCAGTCTCCTCACAAAAACCAAATATTCAAGTACCATAGTATGAATAGATTTTAACAGAGTTATATATCACAGTTGATCGACAGTACAGAGCACCAGATGCTGTCAGGAGGCTGTTCTGACTTTTTTCCATTCAAGGGACAGTTGTGGAGGCAGTTCAGGGGCACAATCAGCAAGACGCCATCGAGCTCATTTGACTACAGGTCGATATTGCATCAGAAAAGCTCATCTAACAGCTTTTTGAAGGGAACAGCTTCAATAACATGGCCAGGCAGCTTGTTCCAGAAACCCTTTGCGAGCCACAGCTTGCCAAAGTGGGTTTGTCGGACGCGTTTTACAGACGCCAGCGGGCTGGTGAGGGTTTTACAGATGCCACTGTTGGCAGAGGGTCTCGGGTTTTTCCAGAAGAGCAGTGAGTGGCCTGACCTTGGCGACCTCCTCCAGGCCTCTCAGCAGGAAACCGAACTGGCGGATGGTGGCGTCCAGGAAGCATGGCACCAGGCAGAAACACACGTGCAGGGGCAGCTGTTCCTCCAGGGCCAGCTGCTGGGCATAGAGCAATGCCCAGTTATCTACAGCCAGGGGAGGGAGAGAGAGACCACTGAGACGATTAAAAAAAACCTAGCAGAGAAAAGCTGGCGTCTTGAAAGACTGCAGTCAACCCGTCAGCTTAAGCATTTGTGAAACTGCAAACAAATCACAGAAAACTTACGCACAGAGGTGGTGCGGCGCTCCATGACGCACAACATCGTTTTGCTCTTTTGGAAATCCACAACTTGCTCGGCGTGACTCACCTTGGACCCTCTGGTCCCGGGACATCCAGTACAGGACCCCCTCGGAGCCCCCCTTCATAGCACTGGCCTTGGACAGCACGCGCATCCGCTTCTTGTCGAACCCGAAGCCCTGCACTGAGAGCCCAGCCTGGCGCCTCGACTGCGCCACAGCCTCCGCCAGCCAGCCGGCCCCCTGCTCGGGCGCCGTCTTCTTCGCCTTCTTCTCGCCAGTTCCCTCGCCGCCCTGCAGCTTTCGCTTGGCCGCTCCCTTGCCTGCAGCGCCCCCCTGTGGTGAGGGTGGCGACCTGCCCGACATGCCGGTGCCCTGCGTCTGGGGCCAATGGGGGGAGGAGGAAGAGGAGGAGGCGATACCGGACTCCCTGGCAGACAACAACGGGACACGACCGAGAGCAGCTCCACTCGACTGGCACAGCAGCAGCTGCAGCCTGGGAAACAGAAGCGAACCGGGGGTCACCGCCGGGCTCCTCTGCCGCGCAGAGCTCCAATCTTCTCCAGCAAACAAGAGCCAGTGCCAGGGGGCTACTGGAATGAAATGGGCCAGCAGCAGTGTGGAGCAGTGCCTGGGGCTCTGGACTCCGGTGGGACCCTAGGGACTTCACTCAGATTGCTCCAGTGAAATAGACAACCAGATGGAAGAATGGGGGGTGCCAATGCAAGTCGCTCTTGAGAAAAGCATCAGCCAGCTGACTAAGTCATTGATATGGCACTTTTCTGCTTCGTTCATACTAGGTGAAGGACAATCCATAGCTTGTTGCTGTGCAACTCGACTTCCCAGAACTGCATATTTTTTTAAATAGTGAAAGGATTTGGTCTGAGTAATTGATTGGCTCTTCAAAATGATTTCTGCTTCATAGGCACAGGAAACAGGAAGTAGTAAATCCCGTTAAGCACCACGTCCAAAGACAAGTGTGAGAAAACAGGTCTCTAAGAGACTCCACTCACCACATTTACATACCAGACACGGCTCTTTGCATAACCGCCCGAGCAGAGCATCATATGAAAATGAAGCAAACAGAAAGCACGTTTACACGTGCGATATTCACGGCTGCAAATGTATTTAAACTAGTGTACTTGGTTCAGCGCACTGTAGTTTGCCAGGATGAATTACTGCTCGATTAACCCGACTAAACCAACACTTTTAGAGAAATATTCAGTAAATTAATGATTAGCACTTTCACACACAGGAAGGCAATGCTCTTATCTGCAGATAAGTTGTGTAGCTAAATATAAGCACACAACGTTTACTGGCAGACAAAATCGGACGGTCAGACAAGAATACCAAGTCAGAAAGCGCTCTTCATTCGGTCAACGGAACAGCGCTGTGCGTATGCAGGCAACATTATACAACAAATTAGTTAAAAGAGAACAACTCCTCTATTAGCTTTATATAAACTGATAGCATACCCTGCTTCCTTACCTGCAGTGTAACATACAGCCAGTACTCTGGCTCAGTTTGTGTATCGCCTATCCTACTGATAAACAATACCTCCTCCGCTAACCCTACCACAAATCGCCTTACGTAGGCTTCTCTATTTACCCGTTTTGTAACAGCACGTTATGCAATTGCTCAAATTACAAGCGTTCCTATTTCCTAGTTTGCGAAGAGCTCATCAGTGATGGTTACACAAACTCCACTCTGCGGTATAGAGAAGATTAAGATTGCGTCATCAAAAGACGCCTGCAGACTTTTCGATGCGTGTTTTTTCAGAATGTTGCTGTTAACTGTTAGTGAGAAGTGTAGTATTATATGTGTGTACGTCACCTCTGTAGGTTTTAAATTTAGCATTTATGACCATTATAGCTCAAGTGGGCGAGATTAATAAACAAGACGCCAACTTTGGTTAGTTGCAGACAATTGTGCCTTAATTTCAAGTATTAGTTAATGATGCTCTACCGCTTTGCGATCCACACACATCTGGCTCGGAAAACCTTTTTTTTTTCCTTTTAATAATTATTTTTACATTACAACGGAGTGATGGCTCAATAAGCGTGATACATTTTTACAGATCTGCACTGTTATAACCAAGCAAAAAAATGTATAAACGAACGTTAGATTCATACACAAAACATTTATGCCAAAATAATAAGGGGCTAGGCAGTACCGTGACTGTGGTACATCCAACATACTGTATAGCTTTCCTGTTTCATACAGTCGATTAGAATGACACTGTACGATATATTGTTTCAATACCAACCCTGATTGCCATCCTCCACAATTCACTAGATCCATTCATTATTGGAAGAACCTGAACGGAGTCATAACAACCCACTGCCCATCCAGGAAACACAGGGCATAGGACAGGACGGCACCCGGTATGAGATGCCAGGCCATTGTGGGCATCATGTCTTCGCATAAGTCACCCAAACATGCGGAGAAATGCAAGCTCCCTACACTAGAATTGAACCCACCACCCAGAAGCTGTGAGGCACCAGAGCTATCTGCCACACTTCACTTCATTGCCATACAGTACCCGGGCTGGGAAACCGGACTGACAAAAGACATGGGCAGTCGGTTTGATTTGATTGAACCTCAATAAACCTGACATGTCCCGCGGACAGAATGCTTTTCCTTCATCATTCTGAATCCACTTCTTCATTCTGTTGGACTTTTCAGTGATGTCACAGCTCTGGCAGCCTTCTCACTCATTGACAGCGATAACCTCCATGTGCAGAGAAAACCACCTAACAATGTGTGCAGGGCCAAAACAAAGCCTTGCTGAGCCAAGAGCTGAGCCCAACAAAGAGCCCCCTGAGTCAGCTGGTCCTGAGGCTTACTGACACACTGACACAAGCTAGTCTTAGGACAGCACTGCTAATTCCACACAGAAGGCTGAATTGGTTAATTTAAAGTGAGAGACTGTGGGCTTGCTGCCCTGAAGACACAGGGAGTGATTAACCCTGTCTTCTTCTTGTTTACATTTCATGTACCTGATGGCAGTGGCTTTGCATGTATGTTAATTCCACTTTGCAGCAGCACTTCTGACTGCTTGTGCACACCTGGGCAGTAACACTCGCACATGTTCTTTTCTTTTCCAAGAAAACTGGTTAAAACTACTTGTGCGGCGACCGTGGAGACATGGCTGATTCGTTTGCCCTTCCAAGCAAGGCAGGTAGAGAGGAAGGCCGGCACGCGTCGCAGCCTGTGAAGGAAAGAGGGAGACTGAAGAGCCCCTCGGGGCCCCACTGTCCCATCCAGGACAGCTCCGAGATCACAGCTGTGCTGCGGAGCGAGGCGAAGCTGGAAGCCCCCGTCTCCCAGGTCTGCTCCTTCAGGAGGATTCCCATGGCGATCAGACCCTCCTATGGCTCATTGGGGCAGGGAAGCTGGGGAGGACCAAGGGGGGCTCCTCTCCCAGGACCGTCCAGCCCAAAAAAGCTTGCTGCTTGCCAACTGGTGCTGTTCGCCAGCTGCTGTCTGCTTCTCCAAGGTAAGATCTCTGCCCTGCCTGTGCCTGTGTCTGTGTCACAATGGCTTCCTCAACTTTAAAACACATCCATCCAATATCAGAAAGTCACTTGAGCCACGTAAGGGTCACAGAAAGTCAGGAGCCTAACCTGGAAACATAAGGCACCAGGCAGGACTACAACCCGGATGGCACGCAGCTCAGTATCTCATGTGAGTCCAGTACACATCACCAACAGGAGGAGGAAGAAAGCTTTTTTCAGTAGTGCTTGGTCTATAGAGGGTTTATGAGGACACATACGCAGTATGGTCACCTCAGACAGATCCTTTTGCTGTGGAATGCCGAGATTACTTTAAGCCGAATGGACTGTTTCAAATAGTGCCAAACAGATAGTTGAGGCTTCCAGTATTATTCAATGGCATTGTCTTGAAGTTATCTTGGGAAGATGAGAAATTGAATGATTCTCATATGGGAATGTTCAGATTTTTAGATGAAATATACAAAGAACCCACTGTAATCCAGCAGTTTAGCATTTTATCAGTGAGCATTTTGTCTTAATGGCTTAAGTGTGCCTACTTAGAGCTGTAAGCATGAAATAAGCTATTCACTTTTTGTCCCTGCCACCAGTTTGTAGATGAGAGGTGAAGGCCAAGAAAGTGTTGTTTGTGCTCCACAGAACAGAGCTGTGTTGCTGCGGTGAAAGTGAATTGCTCCAGACCAGACACGTATTCTCTCTACACAGTCCTTAATACTGCCCTGAACAACAGTGCCCTCCGCCCAGTCATTAGCTTAAAGACCCCCACCAACGTTAATGTCTCCTTCACACTCTATAGCATCTTGGGAGTGGTGAGTCCTGCCTCTGTTAATCAAATATAATAATTGATGTGGATTTAAAAAGCTGTGATTAAAAGGAAACTACATGTTTTTTTTTGTAGGATGACAAACAACAGGTATTAACAACCTTCATTTGGCAAGTATTGGTAGGTTTCTGGGAACTATTGTATTCCCTTTGCTTTATTCATTGTACTATTAGAAATTACTTATATTAATTTTTGATGAGGTTTCTGCCACTGTTGATAGAGTGTCTTACAAGGGAAAGACTTTACCACCTTGTAGTCTGGTCTCATCTGATCTCAGAAGCTAAGCAAGGCTGGACCTTGTCAGTACTGAGATGAGAGACCTCCTAGGAAAACCAGGTTCATATGGTGGGTGGTGTTGGTGGTCCAGTAGGTAACTCTTCCCTCTGAACCATAGTTTCATTAGATGTTCCCAAGCATGATGACTGGGAACATGGTGCTGTACAAGGAGACATCCTCCATGTTAAGCATTAAACCCAGGTCCTGAGTATTTGGTCATTAGATCCCATGGTACTATTTGTTAGAGCTTTGGTGTTAACTCCAGTGTCCTTGCTAAGTTTTTCATTGGGCTTCTACTATCTGACCTTCCTAAAGTCCCCCCTTTTCATTCATTTGGCTATAGCTGTTCTCTCTTCTCTACCTGCTCTGTGGTGGGGTAGCTGGTTCACATTACTCAAGTTTATGTGCAGATCACTTGAAAAGAGAAAAGCACTATATAAGAGCAATTTGTTTTAAAATGTATTATACGGATTTCTCTGAATATTTATTTTTCTTCATATTTATCATATCTCCAGCCATGCAGCAATTAGCAATTACTTTACTCTGTTTTCCTGTAGGGGTTGCAGGACCCCTACAGCAATGCTGCAATTACTTTACTCTGCAGCAATTACTTTACTCTGTTTTCCTGTAGGGGTTGCAGAAATACATGTTGCCTACAGCTACCAAAGAGTTATCATCTCACCCACTGTATAAAGGATTGTCTTCATATTTAATGTTTAGCAATGCCTCTTTGAAAACAGCCTCATTCCAGTTTCAGAATAATCAGTCTGTTGTGTGTTTCTCGTTGTGTTACTCTATGTGTTTTCTAGGAGTGGGATATTGAATATTTGAGTTGGGATCCAGAGCAGTGTGGAACTGAGAGAGTCTCCCTGCCCAGGGTGATGATCTGGGTGCCTGATATCCTGATCAATGAGTTGTAAGTACAGCATGGCCTGGGTGATGAAAAAAGAGCTTCAGACGAATAATACGTGCCATTTAGCAGTGTTTAATTTGTGCCAGAGCACATGGGAACACATTTCCAGTACCTCTCAATCTGAGTCTACCTGTGATCCAGGAACTCTAAGCACACTTGAAACTGTAGCATGTAACATTCGCTCCAGTGAAGTGCTCTGATACCTCCATTGCCCCTTCTACTCTACATCCGCGCTCTCCTCTTCGAGCTCCAGTGCCTCTTGACTTACAAATTAAGCACTGGCATCACTGGCCTTTGCCTTCTCATTTCCTGTGATGCTGTGTTTAGTTAAAATATGTCAATAAACAGGCTGTGGCCTGTCAGCCAAGGCCTGGTTTCAGTCAGAGCACTCTTCTTCCAGCTCTGCCACCTTCATAGGCATATGAACCGTGTCACAGGCGTGACAAACTCTCACTTCCTGTCCAAAAGCCCAGCCCAAAAAACACGAGCAAGGACATGTCCCCTACGTGCCCTAAGCTGCACTCTGCCTATAACACCGAGATCTTAACTCAGGGGTGGTCTGGGACCTGAGGCAGAGCTGAGTGCTTCTTTCAAGAAATAAAGACACATGTCTCTCCAGTCTCTCCAAGTTCCCACCAGACGTCACCCGTCATGTGACCCCAGAAGGGATTTGTACAAGGCTATGTCCCCCATGCAGGCCCTTGTATCAGACTTCCATGTCGGCCTGCGTCACTCTGCATGTCCACCTGAGCCTCTGGAGGCTAACTGTCCCACAACGTCACTGGAACTTCCACTCTCACCACCACATTACTGACTGCGGCGAAGCACGCAAATAAATTTGCAAGCCAAACTCTTCTTCAGGTCAGGTTCGTCTGACTTGAAATGTTTCATTCCTGCTTAGAAAAACATGGCCGAGGAAGGTCTGTAGTCTTGGAAACTGGTAGAGGGCTGAACCTGCACCTCACAAGGCTGGCATGGAGCCGTGCATAAATCTGGACAGAAACAGTATTTCCACCTCGGGGACACGTGAGACCATTGCCATAGTTAGACACCCTGGTCTCAGGGCATGCCATCTTAAAGAAAACCGTGATCAGATAACAGATGCGATAAAAGAACTGCTTTTGTTATGTTCACAATCTGTTGAACATGTTTTGAAGGTAAAGCACGCAAAGTACTGTATATCTCAGACATTTTAAAATGTCATGAGTGTGAAATTTACTGAAATGATCTCGGAACTTGTTAGAGTGCTTATTTATTGTAGGGCCTCCCAGAACAATAATTACAAGCAGTGCTTATTGGATGTTTAATTCAACCTTATTTCTTTTTCACGCAGCATGAGTGACAACAAATCACCTCAGACCCCATACGTGTATATCGACCACACAGGCCACGTGTACGATGACAGGCCTTTGAGAGTGGACAGCTCCTGCAGTCTCGATATCTACAACTTCCCCTTTGATGTACAGATCTGCAGCTTCTCCTTTGGGTCCTACCTGCATTATGGTGAGGCATCTAGATCCTGGCACTCGGAATAAAGACTCGAGCAGAGCTGCAGAGTGGAGTTACAGCACAAGCATGCTCAAAACTAGCATGCTATGCAATGTATTTCCTGCACATCCATTGCTCAGGAGTTACAATTTATGTATGTTATGAGCATTGATAATGAATTTATAATCTCTGCTGGTGTTTTATACTCGTATTATCCCACAATTATTTTTAATACAGCTTAGTTTGGTAAGAAGAAGCTAAGTAGAAGGTGGCCAATAAAATTGTGTTTCTGCATGAAGAATGGAAGAATGGAAAGAGTAAGAAAAGATGATGAATGTCTTAGAACTTTGCATAGCAGGTTATAGTGATGTGGAGCAGCATGTGGTTAGCATTGTTGCCTCCCAGCGCTGGAGCCCAGGGTTCAATTCCTGGGGTACTATCTGCGTGGAGTTTGCATATTCTCTTCATTTTCGCATGTGTTTCCTCTGGGTGCTCCGGTGTCCTCCTACAGTTCAAAGACATAGTGTAAGGTTATGTGAAAATTAAATTGTCTGTTTGTGTCCCCTGCCATGGACTTGCGTCCTCTCTAGGGTGAATTCTGATTTACGCCCACTGCTTGTCTTCATAGGCTCTGGCTACTCCGCGACCCTGAATTGGATAAAGCTGTTAGAAAATGGATGGATGGTTTATTGGCATATAAAATTATGAAAATTGATGAGGATTTGAGAAGTTCATTCCTCACACATGGGTTTGTGAGCCTTTGGATTGTGTCTATCCTTACAGCCTCAGATGTGACAATCAGTCAGGGGCAGCCAGTAGAGTACATCCTGGAGGAGTCCCTGAACGTGATGCAGAATACAGGGGAATGGGAGCTGGTCAATATCAGCGTCATGGATCAAACACTTTTGACAAGCAACAGCACCTATGACATGGTGGTCTACAACGTAAGTGGGTCTTAGGAGAGCTGAAGCACTTTTGTTTTCTGTGGAAGATGGAGAGATGTGAAAGGTGTTTTGAATAGCTGATCAGGGCTCTGTAGAATTGATTTCTTGTATACAGCTTTCTCCAGGGAAGGGATATTGAAATCACAAGCAGATTCATTTGTGCTTGGGCAAGCCAAGACCAGGAGAAACAGTCTTACTTGTATTCTTGCATTTGTGTCTAGATTTTCAGTGAGAGACCTCTTTTAGCTGTGCATCAATGGTACAGCTCCATGTGGCACTCACATCTTCAATAATGATCATATTAATCAAATGAATTGCAAAGACATTTTCTGTATCCTATACAAATGACAGGCCGAAAATATACACTATTTAAATGAGCATTAGTTAATATCAATAAAACATTAATATTGACTGAGATAATAATTGGTGGAAGCACCTTTGACAGCATTTACACCTTTAAGTCATTTTGGGAAAGTGTCCACTCTTGTTGCACACCTGGATGGTGCAGTTTTCAGCTATTCCTCTTTGCAAAATGGCTCTGTAAAGCTGCACCCACGCAGAGGCCAATCAGCTACCTGTGTGACTTATCAAAGTCATTTTGTGCCAGATAACTATTTTAGGTTTGTCTCTGCAAAGAAGGTGAATTTATATTCAATCAAAATGTTTTTTAGATTTTTGGGGGGGTTTCCATTGTAATTCTTACTCACATTGAGCTTCTTTCACCCATCAAAAGTGTTCAGCTTGTGCCCTCGTGTTCTGAAGATTTATTTTAAATATGTATGTTAATCATTTATAAGTCGACACAATAGGACATCATTGGAAGGGGGTGAACAGTTTTGCAAGGCACTGCAGCTGTGGTCCACATGAGTCCGTTGTCTTCCTCACTTTCTGACCACGCCCCCTCTCACTCTCGTTCCGTCTGCAGCTGACCATAAAGCGCAGGCCCATGCAGTATGTGGTGAACCTGCTGATCCCCAGCTGTTTCCTCATCACAGTGGACCTCTTCAGCTTCCTCCTGCCCCCAGAGAGTGTCGACAGATCTGCCTTCAAGATGACTCTGATCCTGGGCTACACCGTCTTCCTGCTCATCATGAATGACCTGCTGCCAGACACAGGCAGCACAACCCCTCTTATCAGTTAGTATATGTGTGGGAAGGAAGGGTCAGGAGCTGGCTCTGATCACCTAAGAAAAAAGATGTATATCCTAAAAAACCCTCTTTAATCTAAGGATAAGAGCATTAATCTGTACTGTGCAACTAAAAAATGCATTTATTTAAGAGCCTTAAGTAGTATTTGGTCCAATAGCTACATCTCTGTCTTTGAAGAGTAGAAGTCTTATGCAATTGTATTTTTAGCTCCCAGCTAAAGTCTTGTATATGTCTCTAGTTCCATGGCTTCTCTTCTGACCTGCAGTCCTTGCCAAAATCTGAAAAGGTTTCTCCAAACACATCTGTTTAGTGTTGGACTCATTCAGATTGTGGTAGACTTCAGAGAGCAGGAACTTGTTTGGAAATGCCTTGAAAAGCAGTTATAGGAAGGTGGCTATGAAGACTGTGTTCCACTTGACAGCACAGATACTTCCCTCTCACCCTTACCACCTCACTCTTTGTGTCTTCTTCATAGATGTGTTCTTCTCCATCTGCCTGGCACTGATGGTGGCCAGTCTGCTGGAGACGGTGCTCATCACAAACATCTTGTACAGCTCTGGCCAGTATCCCAATGTCCCACGCTGGATCCGCATCCTCGTCCTGCAGTACCTCTCCCGCCTTGTCCTGCTGCCTCAGAAAACGTCCCAAAGCAACAGAGTCACAGTCTTCCTCAATCCCGGAGTGCAGGGTAACTCTGCCAGACATGAGCCAGTCACTTCCTATCACAGAGCCTGATCTAAGTGAGAGTACAGTCCTCATCATAACAGGAACAGTAACAAGAGCTCAGCAGGGAACAGCTGAGAGAGACCTCTGGCTTGATTTTAGAAAAACAATTAAATCAAATTCAGATATATAGTACTAACCTTGGAAAGGATAAATCAGTTAAAGCCTTTTCAAAGATGATCAACCAAGTCTTACAGGGGCTAAACTTCAGTAGGCTTTAGAGGCATCTTCCATTGGACACTCCACTGTTTGCTTTGACCTAGAAAGCACATACTTAGCTAATAATAATTAGCCACCCAAGCAGTTTAAAGGTGAGCTTTAGTGAACCCAGAAGCAGCCATTGCCCATGTGAGTCCTTCTTGAGCTGATGTATGCCTTTTGCTCCTCCTGAGGCTGTTAACCGCGCCGCTGCTCTTGTGTTCCAGATGTGCAGGTGGTGAAGAGTCTGGAAGGGGGCGGGAATGTCCCATGCCAGACGCCGGAGAGCCAGCTGGACCGGGCTGCCGTGGAGCTGCTGAAGAGGCTGAGCCGGGACCTCCAGGCCATCAGGCAGCACGCGGAAAAACACTTCAAGAGCAGCGACTCCTCCGAGGAGTGGTGCCAGATCGGGCACATCCTAGACAGGCTGCTCTTTGCAATTTACGTCGTCTTCATCTGTGGCTCGTTCATCGTCATCCTGGCCATCTGGGTGGGGTGGTTCAGGACATAAGACTGGCAACCTCTGTCCACGGCCCACTCACCACACTGCCAGGACCTTGTCAAGCTCTTTATGTTCAGAAAACCCTTACTTTAAATTCTTACACTTCAAAAATAAGAATTCCTTACTCTCAGCCTGTCTGCATAGTATACTCGCTGCTGCGTGCGAATAGGTGAAGCTGGAAAGGGCATTAACACAGTTTAACTTTGGACCACTGAGATCTGTTTTTATGGGCTTTTTCACTTCTAATTCTGTCTCACACGATGAGGAATTAAGCTGGACGTGTTTCACAAATTTGTTCCACAAACCTGGTTGAGCATCCCCAGACTGGAATGTATTATGATCTCAAAATCTAAACTCTCCTTAACTTTAAAATAAAGTTGTTGGTATTTTATCATAAGCAATGCAAGAACTGTAGGACTCATGTATGTGTCATGTGTGTGTTCTTTGCCTTTCTGGTAATGTGTTGATTGATGAAATACAGAAATATGGGGAATTTTGTGTGGAACAAGGCTGTTTTAAAAAGTGAAAGGGCATTAAAATCAGATTAAGGCAAAGTCTGGTTAATAAACATGCACTGAAGGAGACATGGTTACAACTGTTCAGCTGCTTAGCCACCCTGTTATTATTTCCTGGAATGACTTTCTTCATTGTTGTACAGGTGCACAATTAATGTTCTGCCACTATTTGGAGTCCATGTGTGCTTGTTAATCTGTTAATGTGTTAATAGGAAAATGGTAACAGCTGAATCAGTCTTATTATGTTTTTTTTATCTGTTAACAGAATGAGGGTTTCTCCCCAGGAGTAAACAGAATCTAACACAAAACAGCTTCACAAAGTCATTACTGCAGGTGCCTAATGCATCACGTTGGTCATGAACCTATTGCCACTGGGTATATATACTGTAGCAATTGTAAGGGTGAGATCTTGACCTTTAGGACTGCAGGCGCCTGGCACCCATTTTTGTACTGAGATCAGGGCAGTTAGTACAGCAGGCACCTGGGCCATTTTAAATTCCACTCTAAAATTTCCCCCTCAGTAACTGCGATGTGGAATCGGCTGGGTCTCTTACTCTCTGTATGCTGTTTTCTACTCACAGGTAAGCCTTTTATATTGGGATTAAATCCTATCTATAGCCCTCCATAATACAAACATATTGTAAAATGCTAGTTCTATAAAACCTTCATGAAAAGTGTTTTGATATGTGGGCAGAACACTACTGTTTCATATTCGTTGAGTCTTTATAATGTGTACTTTTACAAAACCTGCTTGAAATACTCAGACAATAAATGTAAAACAATACTTGCTTTTGCTAAATTAAACTCTAAAATGCTAACCTGATAACATTGGTCATTGGTTTTATCATTATGGCACTAATCTTGTGCCATTCTACAAACTGAGACATTAAAAGCACACTCTTCAATGGACTGAACTCCATCGAGAAGTCTTCAGAGGGCAAAGCACATCAATTATCTCAAATAAAGCTTATGGTCCACATGTCAAATGGACTCAACAAGTATATCGGGACTAAACTTCTCCCAAATGTCAAAACTGAAAACAAAATACATTTGTTTTTCTAAAATCTGATTGTTTGGTAAATGCCATTATCCAAACCAACTTGCTTAAAATCACAGTTTCAAATGTTGCTATGAATTAAAGTGGAGGTAAAACAGAATTTGTCAGGGAGCCACCATAACCTATTGAACTGAGTAGTACAGGACACTAATGGGAACTGAAAGGGTATTAAAACAGGTGAAAAACAAAATATGACACTAATATAGTTGCTAACCAAATGGAACACGAGTCGTAGTAAAAGCCTTTAATCTTCATGTTTCTTAGTTTCTCCTACAATAGAAAGTAGAATGAGAAGTGTGCAGTGTGTCCCATCAGCTCAAAGATGCAATTAACCACAGGTCACAACGTCCTTACAAAGACAAGAACAGATTCTGCTGTAAGCACGGCAAGATCAGCATTTGTTCCTGCTGCTGTGCAGTGGACAGGCGAGACTGAGTTCTGGAAATTCAGATATTTTATCTGCTGGCTGAGGGGCACAGCGCCTGCTGCTCCAGAGCTCTGTAGCAGCAGGTGTCTCGGTCAACCCAGTCCAGGAACAGCCACTATTTGAGGGTTTTGTCTGTGACCAGTGGAAAGCTCGAGGAATCCAGTGACAATTTTCAGTGGGGTGTATTTTCCATTTTTCCATGTTAAATATTTGGAGTAGGAACCCAAAATTCGTTGTCAGGAGGCGGTACAGCAGGATGCTCAGGATCTCACTGTCAAAGGATTTGGACAGCTTCTCTTTTGTATTATAATATTTCCTTTGTGCTCTTTCTGCCACTGTTTCTTACTGCTAGACAGAAATTCCCAGATGAGCTAATTAACCAGCCTAGGTAAGTGTTGCCCAGTGCATCTTCATGCACTAACAGGCTTGTGCTGTTAAATGTGAATCTTTAAGCCTCGCGTTTTTCTGGAAGATGAAGATGCTCATTTTCACACGGTTGACTTTGTGGGGCTGCAGTTTATATATTTGGAGGAATATTTACTTCTTGCTGAAGAGTCTCTGCCTCCTCGTCTCTTTTACTCTCCCCCCTTCCCTGTCCCCGAGCCCCCCACACTCTCAGCCGGCTGTCCTGCTCGGAAGGCCACAGCGGACCGACCTACGAGTCCATGCAGCAAGTCTTCGACAGGAAGGCCTTCCGCCCAGCCTTCAATCTCAGTAATCCCACCCTGGCCAACATCTCCTTCACTCTGTATGCTGTGCTTGGGGTGGTGAGTAGCCTGAGCAGATGTTCCTGTCAGTGCCGCTGCTCTTGTGTTCCAACAGCACACAAAAAAGCGGCAGGAAGATTTGTATTCCCGTGTACTTTAGCTTCACAATGTTTTTTTCTGAGTGGAAGAAATGCCTCTGAAAAACAGTAAATTTAAACAATTTATAGGCAGGGAAATCTGGTTACATCAGCATCATGTGCTGAGATATCCACCATGAGATCACTGAGATATTATCATTGAGATAACCACCATGTTCTCACAATGTCTCAGCAGTGTAGCTGTAGATCACTGTGTTTTAATGGAATGTCCCAGCTGTGTTGCTGTAGATCAGTATGTGTGACAGAGTGTCTCAGCTGTGTTGCTGTAGATCAGTATGTGTGACAGAGTGTCTCAGCTGTGTTGCTATACCGTAGATCAGTGTGTGTGATGGAGTGTCTCAGCTGTAGATCAGTGTGTGACGCTGTTTCAGCTGTGTTGCTGTAAAATGAATATGGGTGATGGAGTGTTTCAGCTGTGTTGCTGGAGATCAGTGTGTGTGATGGAGTGTCTCAGCCGTGTTACTGGAGATCAGTGTGTGTGATGGAGTGTCTCAGCCGTGTTGCTGGAGATCAGTGTGTGTGATGGAGTGTCTCAGCTGTGTTGCTGGAGATTAGTGTGTGTGATGGAGTGTCTCAGCTGTGTTGCTGGAGATCAGTGTGTGTGATGGAGTGTCTCAGCTGTGTTGCTGGAGATCAGTGTGTGTGATGGAGTGTCTCAGCTGTGTTGCTGGAGATCAGTGTGTACTGGTACAATGTAGCCATTATAGCTGTTCAACAACAACAGTCTCATCTCATTTCAGAATGAAAAGACTCAGATCCTCACCACTTTCCTGTGGCTGCGGCTGGTAAGAGAGAACTTTGCTGCCACACACTAAACAGCTTGCTGTATAGTTGAGCGACATTTATTGGTGTACGGGCTAAATTCCATCATGGGCTGGCACATGACCTGCCTGAAATTTCCACTTAATTCACCTGATGAAGAAGTTTCTTGCTCCTCTTCCTGATCTGCTGTGTAGTGGAGCTGCTAGTGCAGAACAGATGATGTCCATCAAACAGGTGGAGCTGTATCTTCAGTGTTGGAGTGAAGTGGATCCCCTCCTGTATGTTAAGTGCTCCAGAGTCCTTAAGGATGAGACACTCCTATATAAATGCAATTCATTTTTATAAATTACACTTTGGTGGCTTGTGATTATGGTTTGGATTGGTGCTGTTGTGAGGCCTGTGGTGTTATTCCAGCATGTGTGTGTTGCAGTACTGGTTCCATGAGTTCCTGCAGTGGGATCCTCATGAGTGTGGGGGTGTCACCAGGATCTCGCTGCCAGTGGAGGACCTGTGGACCCCTGACATCATTGTCTATGAGTTGTGAGTGTCCAGTCTAACTCCCTCTGGCCACCTGTGAGCTGTCCACCCTTTCATGGTCACTTCAGCTCTGCAGATCTGCCACACTGCACCTCTCTCATTCTTTGACTCTGCACTTTCACTGTCTCACTCTTCCTCTCTGTCCGTCTGTCTTCCTGCCTCTCTGCCTAGTTCTCTCAGTACAGCTGGAAAACTGAGGCACCACACAAATGGGTATTTGTACAGTATATACTGACCTCTCTCCCTCACCCCTTTACCTGTCTCTGACAGTCCATTTCTCCCTCTCCATCTTTTTCTTTCTCCTCTTTCTTTTAATCACCCTTCCTCGTCTTTTCTCCTTTACTCTCCCAGTATAGATGAAGACAAGTCCCAGCGCTGTCCCTACGTCTATGTCAATCACACGGGACACATCCGCTACGACAGAATGCTGCGGGTTGTGAGCTCTTGTAACCTGGAGATCTTCAACTTCCCCTTCGATGTGCAGAACTGCTCCCTGACCTTCGGATCTTACATGCACACCAGTAACTGTCTCTCTCCCTCCACCGTCTCTCTCTACCAGACACACACCAGTAACTATCCCTCTACCACACACAGACCAGTAACTCTCTCTCTCTACAGGACACACACCAGTAACTATCTCTCTCCCTCCACCGTCTCTCTCTATGGGACACACACCAGGAACTGTCTCACTACCAGACACAGACCAGTAACTCTCTCTCTCTACAGGACACACACCAGTAACTGTCTCTCCCTCTACCATCTCTCTTTACAGGACACACCAGTAACCTGTAATTCTATTGCCTAGACACTTTTGTATACATAGCTAGAATGTTTAAGAGCATTCTGTGAAATGTCAAAAGAGGACTGGTAATACTTAGTCTTGGGGTTTTTGCTCACATGATAGTGCACAGTCTATAGTTTCTGTCAATTCTGATAGGTTAAGATAATGTTAGGTAAAGATCTCTCTCTAAACTGTTTGTTGTTGCTTTGCAGTTAATGTTAGAACATAATTGTAGAACACAAGTAAACATTGTCTTTGGTTTTGTATTGGATTTGTTTCAGGATCTTGTTCATCTGGTTCAGACTAAATAAAATAATGGTGAAAATTAGGATACTACTAAACTTCCGGAGGAGGGGACTGCTCTGTTCAACGCACTATAACGTCACTCCTGTGTAATCTCTCTCTTTCAGGCAGGGAAATAAGGCACCGAAAGTACCATGAGCGGTATGCTATCATACCCAGACACGGTAGCTCAGAATTAGCTTGAGGGGGCAGTCACTGCAGGGCTGATCCTGCAGTGATGTTAGCAAAAGACAAAGCAAACTAGGAAGAAGGAAGAGAAAATGAGCCAGATCTGTTTCAAATGTGGTTCTCATTTTGCTGTTTCCCACTTTCTGTCCCCTCTGTCCGGGATGTGCGAGTGAGCCCTGCCCTGCCCTTCGATCAGATCTCCGGGAACTCCAAGCAGTACCTAGAGACCAGCGGGGAATGGGAGCTGGTGGTGATTGAGGGCTCAGCGGACATCCTGAAGTTCGGCATCGATGAGTGGGACATCATCACCTTCTGGGTAAGAGAGGAAGAGAGAGCGATAGGGATGAGAGTCTGAAAAAAGAGAGGAGGCGAGCAGAGGAACTGGGACTTGCCCAGACACTTGTCTTGTGTTCTAGTGCAGTATTTCACAGCTCAGCTACTGTGAGGAAGCTAATAAAATTCCAAAAGCAATACTCTGTCACATACAGTACACAGTAACCACTCTCTAATGTTAAGGAACATTTCAGATAGAGGGACAGAGTTCTCCTTCCCCACACACTTATAGTGTGACTCTAAAGAGATATGATGTTCATGCAATGTCCCTCAGAGCATGGAAGGAGCTGTTCTCCCCTACTGTCCAGCCTCAGTGACTGAGGATATGGAGAGAGCCAGTGTCCACTTCGAGGTGTGGTAAGCGTTTGGTATGTAACACAGTACCAGCTGGCCAAGGGAACTCTCCCTGTGGAGAACTGGTTATTCAGCAGTTCTGTATAACTCTACTCTCCTTTCCTCTTTTGGAAACGTTCTGCCTTCCTCTCTGTCTCCACTCTGTGGAAGTGTTTGTGAATTATGCTCTCTCTACCCTGTGTGAAAATGGATGCCCGGCACTTCGGTTTCCTCCCTGCAGGTGGTGATCAAGCGGCGGCCTGTGCTGTACGTCGTGAACCTGCTGATCCCCAGCTCCTTCCTCATGGTGATCGACATCCTGAGTTTCTACCTGCCCCCCCACAGCGTGGACCGTGCGTCCTTCAAGATGACTCTGATCCTGGGCTACACTGTCTTCCTGCTGATCATGAATGACCTGCTGCCTAGCACGGCCAACGGCACGCCACTCATCGGTAAGAAACTGCCGAAAGAGCAAATTCTTTCTGTGCTCTCTACAGATCTTCGTGAACAGTCAAGTCTCTAGTGCGTGTTTACCTGTTTGTGTGTCTCAGGTGTGAGTATTGTCTTTGTCAGAATATCTCAGGTGTATTTATCTGTTTGTGTGTCTCAGGTGCATGCATTGGCCTGGCAATGTATCTCTAATGTGTTTACCAGTCTGTGTTTCGCAAATGTGCGCTTACCTGTTTGTGTTTGCATGTCTCAGGTATTTATTTCTCAGTGTGCCTGGCCCTGATGGTGATCAGCCTGCTGGAGACAGTCATCATCACCAATGTGCTCCACCACAGTGCCATGAAATACCGCTCTGTGCCACGTTGGATCCGCCTGATCGTACTACACTACATCGCCCGCCTCATCTGCTACCGCCAGCCAATTGACCCCCCCGCTGACCCCCCTGAACAACCTACAGAAACCCTCAGAGCTCCAGACCCCTGGATCACAAAGCCCTCCACCCCCGCAATGCTGGCCAGGAACAGCCAAACTGCAAATCACAGGATCGGTGAGAGCCCACGGAGTCCTGTGCACCATGTCTCCCTCATGCAAACACGGTTGTGCACGCTGTAATGTTCAGGGAGCCACATCAAATGCAGACATACTGAATCACACAGCAAAGGATTAAGAGATGCACACCCATGTGACTTGAGTTTGCATGCGTTTCTAACATTATTTGTTCGTAATGCACACCTAATTTACTTACATTTGCAGAACTCCCTGCATTCCCAGTTATTCCACATGCTTGAGAAGGTTGGTGCATCATTCTGTTCTCTGCCCTGTTCCTCCTCAGTGCTGTCAGACCACAGGGAGGGGCTGCAAGGTGACCGTGCCCTCCCAGCAATGCCCGTGATACCGGAACTGCAGCAGATCTCACAGGACCTGGGGACCATGCGCGCCCACCTGACATCCCTGCAGAAGGAGAGCGCCCTGCGGGATCAGTGGGGACACGTGGGATACGTGCTGGACTACCTGCTGTTCCGCATCTACCTGCTGCTCATCACCCTGTATGCCCTGGTCATCATCTGCATGTGGTGCGTCTGGTACAACCTGTGACCCCTGACCCCTGTGCAATCCCAAATATAGCCAATTACCCTCTCCCCAGCAAGCTGCCCTAATTCCCTGTAGGCTATTTCTAGAACCCTCCTGCAGTCTTCAGGGTAACGCTAGGTTACCCCCTGATCTCCACGCTATTTCCCAGTCTCTGCTCATGCTGTTCCATGCTGAAGAGGATGCAGTTTGTGATCCAAAACACCTGAAGCAGAGAGGGATTTCCAGATCTTTCCATGTGTACCTAAATAAACGCAAGAACAAATGCAGCTCTGTGTTGTGTAGTATAACGGACCTCGGCCGGGGTTTTCCCATGTGCTTATTCACCAGGTGCCTCATTAGCACCTTCTCAGTGCCCTGGCATCACTAGTGCAGCTTTCCAAAACAACCAGCTTCCCCCCTTCCACTCTCTTTCAAGCAGGAAAATCAAACTTGCAATTCGGACAGGGGAGGGGAGCCCGTCTCCCACATCCTTCTTCACTCCCAGTTGGAGCTGCACGCTTCTTCTGGAAACAAATTTTCTGCAGTCAACTGGGCGTAAGGTTCAGTTAGTAAAGGAGTTCAATACAGAAGGTGCAGAAGTCACAGACATCCTGACTGATGTGCTGGCCCTCACTTCCAAGCGAGTCTGAGCATTTTATCACTTATCACCAATCTTTCACACAGCACAGCACCTGAAGACGTTGAAAATCCTTCCTGAGGGGAGGTTGAGCTCCTTATCAATTATACATCATCATACCCACAACCTCAGGGGGACTGATACTCATCCAGATGAACCCAGATCATGTTTTTTAATGTTACAAGCCTGACCTCAGCTCCACACTATATCCTCTGAGCACCGAAAGCACAAACACTCCCACTTCTCCAGCACAATCCACCAGTCTCTTGCAAACGCACGCTAGGAGGTACTTTAAAAAACGATTCAAACACAGAAAGATTTTTTTCAGTTACCACATCTTTTAATAATCTCAATTGTCAAACAGGACGGTTTTCTGATAGTGCAGGCAGGACGTCCTCCACGCTTCAGCTCAAACAGCCCTTCCCTCCCCCTCCCCTTTCCTGTTCGCACTCCTTACAGGCCGAGGGCTGTCTCCAGACACAATCGCCCCACAAAGTAGCACCAAGGCAGGAGGGCGCAGAGGGAGAGCACAGCTCGCTGACAGTGTGGAAGACCTTATAAATACTAAAGACGGTGTTTCAGAGGCAGTGACGCATGGACAATTCTCACACCCAAAATCAGGTCACTGTCTGCAGGGGAGATGGAATTTTGTTCGCCGTGGAACTGGACTCGACTTTGTCGAGAAGCTTTGGTATCACCCTCATAACCTGGGGGACACCCCAGGCCAGCGCACAGAGGTGCCCAGGGGGGACGCTCCCGGCAGCTTCACTGGCGCCTCCTCTGAGGAACCTCAGCAGCCCTGCAGCACGACTTGGTGACAGACAAAGCCAAATTCCAAAATCGCTTCACTTAAAAAAAAATACCAGCAATAAAATGAATTAAAAAATAAAACGACTTTTCATGAGACTCTGCGACAGTGCGACTTTGGCGGCGGAGTTGAACGGAGATGAGACAGGGAGACAGACGCGGTCTCTATCCTCGTCCGGAGCGACCGCCGACTGAGGCCTCTTCTTCCGGAGGGGCTCCGCGGCTCCGGACTCTGAGTAATTGTGCCTCTGTCACCCCCGACGCCCCACCCTGCCCTCACTCGGCGGAGCTCAGAGCACAGTGCCCAGTCATAGCCCACACGTGGACGCTAGCAGCACAACCTGACAACATAAATACATTCCCAGTACGGTCCAGAAGCGAATACAAGCGACAGTGTGCAACAGGGGGTTGGGACACCCTCCCCCCAAAAAAATCCCAGGAGGAATGAGCTGCCCCCTCCCTGAATCCTTTTTCCTCTGTAGTCCGGAAAAAGAGCAGAGTTTGGATGGGGCTAAAAAAAAAACTGCAGGACCCCAGTGCTGCAGCCAGGGGGCGCAGTTTCAAGTCTCTAGTGCAGCTCTGCATTCCAGTGTGTGCAATCTAGCAGAAGGGGTCAAGGGGAGGGGTGGGGGGCACACCCAACTGTCTCTGCAGTTGAGCTTTGTGCGTTCTGCCCCTCTCTCCCCCCCCCACCAGCCCGCTAACCTCTCTCCGGAGGGGTGGCCTACTTCCCCCCTCCCTCGTCCTCCCCCTCGTCCTGCAGCTCCTCCATGTTGCGGCGCGCCAGCCTCTCTCGCCGCTCCGCCAGGCGCTGGCACTTGGGGCACGGGCGCTCCCCCCGGAAGCAGGCGCGGTGATAGCAGGCCTTGCAATCTGGGACAGAGAGAGACCGTGGCAGCGGCGTCGGCGGAACCTCCGAAACGCACTGCCGCATCTAATAATTCTCTAATAATAATTCTCATCTGAAAGACTGCAGCGTTACACACCTCCCCCCGCCTTGACCAAGGCAGGCGATTTCCATTCTCAATCCCTACTCCCACCAGGAAGAGGGTATAGGGTGCCAAATTCAAATCAAAACATTTATAAGAAGTTTTTTTGTCCCCTCTGCAATAAGACAAATCAATGAATGGATGTAAATGTGTTCCCTCCTCTACCTATTTATTTATCCATCACATACTGTTGTGATTTCATGTGACTCTTTTGGCTTGTGTGTTTTTTACTTTATGTGAGAAGCCAAAGACAAACTTCCACAGCAGTGGACAAACTATCTATCCGTCTTTTCGTGCCAAGATGCCACCTAATCGGATGGCTCTGGGTGTGAAGGTATTCCTTTTCCAATTGTCGATATTGGCCACCCCCTCCACAACTGAATATTTTAACAAACTACCGTCCTGCAAATACAGTCCCGGCACCAGCAGTGCTACCAGTTTATCCTTTCTGGCCTATCCTCTGCCTCCCCTCAACACTGAGCACAGCGCCCCCTTTCCACCCCCAAGTCAGAGGGAAGTCAGTTCTCTGTACTCTCATCTTGCACCTGTCTTGCCTTCCTCCCTTCTCTCCTGCCCCCTGGTAGGCCCTTGGCAGGCTGCCTGGGTGGATATAATTCCCAGGTTCACCAGGAGGGGCAGAGCTGTGCCCGCCAGCTGTCTGGACACAGTTAAGCAAGGAGAGCCGCGTCTCCATCACCTCACCTTCGCAGCGCCGGCACTTGTTCAGCTCGAAGGGGAAGATGATGTCCTTGTCGTTCCCACAGAACTCGCAGACAAAGCCCTTCGCCTGGCACAGCTGGAGAGGGAGGAGGACAGAGGGGAAATCAAGGGATGGAAGGAGACCGAGGGAGAGAATGAGGCTGGTGAACAACAGACATCACACCTGCACATGCTCAGTTTGGCATTACATGGCTATCGCACTCACAGGGACCATCACAGTTTTGTAGCACTTTGTGGATGTGTCGTTCTGTTGTGCGCGCACGGTTGGGCACATGTGCGAAGGAGAATTTATAAACGACTGTGTACCTCAGAGCGCAGACATGCCAGAGTGCTACTCACCATGCAGCCCGAGACATGTGTGGAACCCAGGCGCAGCAGCTCTCGTAGCCGGGGGGGCAGGTCTCCGCTGCGCACCGCGCTGAGATCATTTAGAGAGAAGAGGTGCAGGTCCTCTGTCAGGTGCCCTGGGACCAAGTCGAACTGATTCAGCACCCTTGGGATAGGAGAGGGAGGACACACAGTAAGGAAGGGTTTTACCCCAGTATACCATACACTCCCCAGTGTTAGACCCCTGAACACTTACTCTTTGGCCAGACGGCAGGTCTTAAACATGTTCTTCATGTGGAACAGCTGGAGCCTCAGGAGCTGAGGGAGATAGAAGAGTTATCAGGGCATTACTATTAGATTTCTTGTACATGGAAATTCGATAATAGTGAAAATGGAATTCACATTTAATATATGGTGTGAATGTGTAAACCAGTCTGCACTACCAGTGAGTCCGTTTGACTCAGAGTGGTTTACTACTTCATTAATTTTCACAAACATGAAGCAGACAACACTACTAATATTGTGTTCAATATGTACCTTGAGTGTATTGTTGCACATCAGTGTTTAATCATGCATGGATCAGCATGTTTGAGTGTAAGAGTGTGGACTTTTGCTAGCAACCACATCACGCTGCAACTCACAGTTGGCCACCCACTGAAACTAAGCAGGCGTGCCTGGATGGGAGACCTCCTGGGAAAAATGAAGGCTGCTGCTGAAAGAGATGTTAGTTGGCCCAGCAGGGGGCGCACACCCTGCAGTCTATGTAGGTCCTAATGCCCCAGTATAGCGATGGGGACATTATACTGTAAAAAGGCACTGTCCTTCAGATGAGACGTAAAACGTGGTGGTGGAGGGGAGTCCCCATTACCTGTGAAGTGCTTTGAGTGGAGTGTCCAGGAAAAAGCTATATATGTGTAAGCAATTATTATCATTATTTTTTTGTGCATGTCTCAAAAGATATGCCTTCCTGCCTACCCGGACTTGCTCCAGTGCCTTGACCTTCCTGTAGAGGGCGCTGTTGATGTCCTGCAAGTTGAAGAGGGGATCTCCAGCAATCTTGCCCAGCAGGTCACGGGCAAAATTGCTGACAGGTTGTTTGCTGAAGTCCCAGCGGCGCAGTACACGACCCGGAACCACAGCCTGGGAGTTCTCATGGCAACACTGGCAGAAATACCTGCCCAGGTACTCGCAGTACCGCAGTCGCTTGATGTAGTCTGAGAAGGAGACAGGCAAGAGTGTGACAAACAGGAGGATTAAAGACATGGAAGATAGACACTCAAACCTCATGCACTGTCTCACACATACACTCTAGCAGTGCACTGAAAACTAGGCTGGGCTAGTTTAAAATTAGTGCATTAGAAGGACACAGTATCATTTAGCACACAGCATCAGATTTGGGATCTGTGCTACAGAAGGGACATTGCTCTTTAATGGCTGGTTAGTTCAATGGGGCAACATCTGGTACAATTCCTGCTTTCAAATCCATATCACAAAAAGATAGGCAAAAGGAAGCAAGTCACTTATACTTAGAATTATTTCCCAGGCACTGACCCTTTGGACAGTAGGCTGTCTGTAGGGCTCAGTAGGAGACAATCAAACCAGCAGGATTGACTGAATGGCCATATATTTCCTGTCAATATCTCTGATGTTGTTTAGTCTCTCTCTGCCTGCCTGATCTTAGACAGTCTGCTCACCTGGATCAACACGGGTCCCACAGCCTGCACACCTGTAGTTTTGTTTGGCAACCACTACCTTTCTCCTGAGAGCGGGTGGAGGGACAAAGAGAGAGCTGTTAGACTGGCAATGCATTCATCCTGCAGTATCTTCTCTGCTCCTTGTTGAAGACTCTCTGCACTGATAACACTGGCAACATCTCTCCATCCTATAGTCAAATCAGGTTTTCCTTCAGGCCTGTGCTGCCTGAACCATTTGGAGGACAGCTGTCTCTGCCACTCCCTCACGGCCCCACCTACTGACCCCCTTCAGCTCCAGCTGTGACCCTCCCCGCCGACCTGCACCCCTCCCCCAGGACCCCCCTCCAGCTGTGACCCTTCCCCAGGACCCCCCTCCAGGTGTGACCCCCCCCAGGACCCCCCTCCAGGACCCCCCTCCAGCTGTGACCCTCCCCCAGGACCCCCCTCCAGCTGTGACCCTCCCCCAGGACCCCCCTCCAGCTGTGACCCCCCCCAGGACCCCCCTCCAGCTGTGACCCCCCCTGCTGTAGCCTCCAGCTGTCGCCTGCCCTTGCCACCAGACACAGATGGTACAAACTTACTTGGGCGCAGGGTGGATGTTGAAGATGATCTGGGGGCGAGGGGGAGCCCACTCCAGGTTTCCCCGGACTCGGATGCGGAGCTTGTAGATGTCAGCGTGTTCGCCGTCATCAGGAGAGATGGGCAGTGAGTCAGGGATGGGCAGGAGCTGGGGAAGCACAGTGTAATGTCATTCCATGTAATTCCGCTTTATGGGTTTCACTTTGTAATCCGAGATGGTGCGGATTCTGTTCCACATATTCCGAGTGTCCCGGTCATCGTGATAGTGTGATTCCAGTTTTACCTTGTAGTTATATTTGGATTTTTTTAATGGCTTTTCTGAGATGGGATCTGGATTTTCTGTACGTGTCCTTGTCTCCAGAGTTGAAGGTGGATGCTCTATCTCTGAGTTTAGCTCGTACTTCGCCATTTATCCACGGCTTTTGATTTGTAATGCAATACACTTGACCGTAATGCAGTCTGTTCTACAGTAATGTCCTGCAGTGTATTCTCTTTTGTAGATCCCGCACGTACCATGATCCAATTCACTGTACCATATTGTGGTGAACACGAGCAGGGTGGGAAATGAGCAACTGGCAAGGACAAGACTTTGTTTTAAAATCAACCAAATGATTTTGGAAAGAAAGCCAGACAAACCGAAACTAGCTAAAGTTTAAAGATATGTTTTAAGGAGCCAGCATGGCAACATAATAGTCGATGATTTTTCACTACAGTTTTTGTTTGCTTATTGTACCTTGAACTCCTGTAGTGAACAGAACCAGGGACCTGTGCTCTTCTATACGGCACTGCTGTACTGTAGTCTTATACTGTACTTGTGTGGGTTTCTACCCCATGCTGTGCTGCAGAGTGGCGGGTTCGTAGCCACAGCGCCCCCTACCTTCTGAGGGGCATCGTGCTCGGGG